CTCAAATTTTAAAATTTTTTTTAAGTAAAAAAATAAATATTTTTTATAATTACTTAAAACTTGTTGAGAATATAACTTCTGATCAAATTGTTCTCAAATAAGAGAACATTTTTATAGTTACAAATATTCTCAAAAATATTGTAATATTTTTTGAGAACAATAAGAATATTGAATTTTATACATTGATCAATACTTAAAATAATATAGCAACTATTGCAATATAATGACAAATAAAATATTATCTAGTTGCAGCTAGTTGCAACTTATAAAATTTTAAAGTTGTAACATGTTGTAATGAATGATAAATAAGTATTATATACTTGTTATATTATTTCTAATCAATATAAAGCAGTAATGAATTGAAAGAAAAATCCAATTTAATTTAAGAACAAATAATAAAAAATTAATATACCAGTAACTTGTTTAAAAATAAAAATAATAAATTAGAAACTAATTAATTCATGATTATAGAAGATAATATAGAAATCAAAATATTTAATAATAATGACAAAGAAAGATTACCTAAAAAAGTATATGAAACAGATATTGAATTTGATCTAAAATAATATTATTAATAATTTAATTAAAAGAGATAGTTCTAATTAAAAATGAATTTCTAAATTATCTGAGAGAAATATAATTATATAGTGTCTGACAAAAATATTCTTGTACTGATAATTTTTGATAAATTATCTATAGATATCTAAAATTATATATATATAATACATCACAAATATTAATTATTGATATTTTTTTATTAATTGAAAAAGATTCTATATTAAATATTTTATATTCATAAACTTTTACATTTCAAATATAATTAGTCATTTTATAACACATATTTCAATATTCAATAATTTAATCTTGATATTCAATTATTCAATTTGAATAAAAATATTACTGTTTAATTCATCTTGATTAGATAAATCAAATAGTAATATTTTTGTTTAAATCAGATAACTAAATATCAAAATATTACATCTTAAAGTAACAAATTCATTTTTTTGATATTGTTACTGTTTTGAGCTTTTGCATATGAAAATATTTCAATATGACAATAGTAACTGTATTTACAGCAATTTACTTTAGACTTTTTTTAACTAAAAGATTTTTATGATGATAAAATGATGTTTCTTGACAAGCTAAAAAATGATGAATGTAAGATTAAACTGATAACAAGACTAAACTAAAAGATAAACTTAATCAAATATTACTTAAAATTCCAAAATAAAATTAATTTAACATGTCAAACTCGACATTAAACCAAAAAAACTCAAAACTAAAACTTAAGAACTTAAAATCAAAACTGAAGAACTTAAAACTTGAACTGGGAAACTTGATTTTTTATTAATTATTAGCATCTATACTTATACATGTTTTCATATTATAGTGACACAGTATGATACAGTAATGTGCAGTATAATGCAATATGACGCAGTTGCAACACAGCATATAGCACAATAGATCTATGCTAATATTGGTTCTCTTCTAAATTACATGAAATTTAACTACATTATAATTAATAATCTTGTTCAACATCTAAATATCAATAGCAAAAATAGAAAATAAAAGCTAAACTAATATAAAAAATGATGAAATTTGCCAAGAAAATGATATGATTAATATATTCAAATAAAGATAACAATAAGATAAATATAGAAAGATAAGTGATACAAGAAAGAAAAAGAAAAAAATAGAAAGAGATAGAAAGAAATAGAATATTATTGAACTAAATATATAATCTAAATATTATTATAACTAATTTTTATCATAACTGCATCTTCTATTTACGTGTTCTTATGTTAAATTATTGTTGATATTGAATCGGTGACAATATAATAAAAATAAATTAATTAATTTAGGATATGATATCTTAATTTTTCATAATTTAAGTCAAATAAAATTAATACTATTTAATCCATTTTGACTAGATGAATCAAATAATATTATTTTTGTTTGAATAGGATTACTAAAAATCAAGAGATATATATATATTATGTTTATTTATTTTTAGATAATCAATTTCTAATGAAAAATTAATTAGTGAATTATGAATTGATCACTTTAATATGTAATATTTTAATATTTAGTAATTCAATTTGAGTGAAAATATCATAATTTGATTTGTCTAAATTAAACAAATTGAATGATAATAATTCTACTCAAATCAGATTACTAAATATTAAAATATTATGTCCTAAAATGATTGATTTATTGTATTTGAAGTATAAAAGTTTATAAATATACAATATCCAATATAAAATTTATCAATTAATAAAAAGATATCAATAATTAGTATTATACAATAAAATTTTAAAAACCTACACATAATCAATCAAAAATTATCAATATGAGATACTTTTATTAGATACTATAATTTAAATTAGTTTTAGTTATATTCCTAAACTATATTATCAGTTTCAGAATCAATTTTTAGTTCTAATAAATTATCATATTATAATAAAAATATCAACTAGAACATATTGTTAATTAGTTTTTAGATCTTTATTAGTATATAAATAAATAAAAATCAAAAATAAAACAATTTATATCAAATATACTAGAAATATTGAAATAATGCTCTTGTTAAAAATTATCAAATTTGAAAGACTAGATAGAATTCAAATTACATTAAATTTTTGATAAGTATAAATATTATGCATCATACATGAATTCATGTTTGTTAGCTAACTTAAATTCTATTAGTTTAATATTTGTTTATTTGTTTAAGGGAGTGACATATATTATATAATTATCAAAGAAAGGAGAAGGATCTCAAAAATCTTATCTTTTATGTGATCAAAAATAATTAACCAATTAAAATATAATAAAAATTTCATTTGGAGAAGGGGGGGAGGAATTAATTATGTAATATATGTCACTTCTCTTACTCATTTGCTCATATATTTACTTGTTTATTTGTTCACTTGCTTATCCCATGTGATTAGATTCTTTTAATAAGATATAAGATATTTATAATTCAATAATAATTATATATGAAATTATCTTGCAAAATAGTTAACAAAAATTCATATTATAATAATATAATATTTTTGAATTGTTAGATAAATAAAAGCTGGTACTTTATTCTAACAAGATTTCTTTCTGAAAAAATATCATGTGCCAAATTACAAATTCCATTATATAATAAATAAGTTATGAATGATTTAAACAAACTAAAATCAGTTTTTATAAATTAAAAGCTAATAAACTATTTTATAAGTATATTAAGAGTTTTTTTTAGATACTGTATTTTGTGTGAAAAGTTGATCAAAATTTTATTGATGTGACTAGGTTGTATATATTGTAATAAAATATTTCCGATTAATAATCCAAATTAATTGGTCAATCATCATATTTCACGTGATTATGAAAGAAAAAATTTCCAATAATCACTTCAAAGAATGTATCTGTTTGAAGAGGTCAGACCTCGATTTAGTGATGGGTCGGGAAATATAGTAAAATTGAAAAAATGTTATTTCAAGAATGTCGTTAAAGTAAGATATTAGTTACTGAAGTCTGACTGTAACATTTAATAAGTTTTTACACGTTCTCGTATCATGTCTAGTAATTCCTCTTCCTCTTGCATAATAATGGAATTCTCAAGACTTTATTTTTTAAATAATAGCAAAAGATTTTCGTGATCGAGTAAGGCTTTGTATGTCGTAATGAGAGTAGGGATGATCAAAGCTCGATATAACGATAATTTGATACAACGATGACTAATTAAAATCAACGATATTAAAATTTGAAAAATATAGTAATATTGAGAGTTTATTAATAAATTCACCATACCGAGGGAATTTATTATAGACTATATCGTCGAGGTTCACTATAACGGAAGTGGGTTGAGGTGCATTTTACTAATGTCGGGATCATACACCGATAAATCGTTATATCGAGCTTTGACTGTATTAACTATTCAACTATTTTTGATTTGAATTTATATATAGGATATTGAGTATGCTAGTGATTAGTAGTATTTTATATATCAAACGTGTGCATCGAAAAACAAAAATAGAGATAGGAAAGGAAAAAGAAGTCGTCGATATATATATTATATATCTCTGAATCTCTATCTATAATCGTCGTCTAGTAATAATAATAAAAATATTTTTTTGTGATAATAATATGGGTGAAATAATAATATAAATTAAATAATAATCATAAACATGAGAAATTTAACATAATAAAACATGGCGGGAATGGAAATTCCACTCACCCATCTTAATCTATAATATATTTAATATCACAAGCCGCCTATTCTAAAAAAGATAATTATATATTGTAAAAATAAAGATTAAGCCTAAGTCACCAAAATAAATGAATAATCCAATAATAACCTAGGTTTCTATTTTTCTATTTTATTTTTTAATTATATTCCATTATTGAAAATAATCATTAGTTTCTCTAATTATAGTAGTAATAACAATAATAACAACTAACAAACAAAATTAAGAAGAAAAATACTAATAATAATAGTTATCATACCTACTTTCTTTTAACAAGTGTCATCACTACTTTTGGGATCGTGTTGATTAGGAATACTGCCAGTTGTTGGAAGTGCCGAGATTATAGGAGTGTCGCTACCATTTACGGCATTATTAGCCGGATTAAAATTATTATAGGTTTCGTTATGGTTGTTACGACTGGTATTGATATTATTGTATCCGTTTGTCAAAACATTGTATCTAGTTTTATTTTGTTGATTTTGATATTGCTGTTGATATGTTGAGCGTTGTTGCTGAGGTTGTAGTAGTTGCTGCTGTTGCTGTTGTTGACTATTTTCTATTATTAGTGATAACGAACGAGAGGTTGATGATGATTATGAAGTGCATATAGATTATTATTAATGATAAAAAATTAATTATTATTACCCCGTGGTTTTCCTTTTTCGACGCGAAGATTTCCAATCACGTTATAATTCTGTAATGGCTTTATGGAAAAAAATTATTACATTAATATTAACGAATTAATCAATCAATCGATCAATCACAAATTTATGAGATCATTACTATTCCGTGCTTTTTCAATGCACGATTTAGTGCATCGAGACTGTTAAAATCAATATGAGCAAACGATTTATTTGGGGATTGTCGAATCTCTCGGACCTGCATATAATGAATAAAAAATTAGCGTTCAAGTCTAGTAATGTATTAATAAAATGTAGTACTTACGTCATCTTCTGGGAATAAACTGCGTAAGACTTGCGGCTGCATTGTCCCTTGCCATGATACGAAAGCGGTGAATCCCTTTACAAAAAAATTAAGAAAAAAAAACATTAATTTAAACTTTTCTAGAATGGTAATACACAGTAGATTTCTTGAAACCTCTATATCGACAAATAAAGAAAAAATACTTGTTTAAATCGAAAACTGCTCTTAGTCGAAATTAAAGTCTAACATCGAGCTAGTCGATAGTCGACTTAAAAAGGTTTACTGTGTACAAAAAATAATTAAAACTTACTCCTCTTCGTTTCATATTATTATTGTTGTTATTATGATTATTATTGTTGTTGTTGTTGTTGTTGTTGTTATTGTTGTTGTTGTAGCTACTACTGGTGCCATTAATACTATTATTGTTAATGTTGTTGTTGCCGATGAAACGTCGATTACCCATTGGTGACATGGAAGTACCAGTCGGAGTAACTGCTGTGGAAGTAGAAGTACTTGATTTTACTTCGTCAATGCCATTACTAACATTATGATTGCTGACACTGTTGATAGTGCTGCTGTTATTGTTACTATAATTCTGTTGATCTCTTGAACTTTCTTCTGGTGTGTCCTGCGCCAATTCTGATTCATTTGATGGCTGATGTGATTAATATACACATTATATAGTAAAGACATTAATATTTACTGTTAATAATTAAAAGTCATATATTCATTTGGGTAATGACTACCTGAAATGGAGGAAAACTACTTTCAAAAGGGGCACTGTCGTAATTTTTAGAATTAGCTGCACTAGTAGAATTCTCATCAGTAGAGCGATCTGGAGTGGAAGATTGAGTGGTGAGAGGCGATGTTACTATAGAAATTAAAAGAAACTAAGTATACAAATCAAATCCAATATTTTCAGCTAAGTTACTTGTTATTTCGTTCGTTACCTTGTTGAACTGGTATATTATTCTTTTGCCATTGTGGATGTGGTCGATTAGTAGTATGCTATCATGCAAAAATAAAATGTCAAACAATTGATCACACATGACATTGCATCTCATTAATTTAACAGTAATTGATATTTACCTCCCCCACTCCCCCTCCCAGGAGGCTATCAACTGCTCTATCAATTGCTCTTCTGAACTCGGTTTCTCTTGACCGATAGTCATAACTTGAATTTGAGTATTTGTGCGTTGTCGAGTTGTAACCCATTTTCTTTTCATTTTCAAGCCTTTCAATAGTGCTTTGTAATCTTTTGATAGTCATATCTTTCTCCTTTTGTTGTCATAAGAATTCAAGAAGAGGGAAAAATCAAAACATTTGTTATTAGATTGTGAATAATAAGAGACATTTATATATATAAAGTCTTTTTTTTACATTGAGGTGGGTCTGAAGCCCCTGCACATATTTATGGAAGTCCGCTAGAGGATCTCTGAAGTCCGGAAACTGTACAATTTCAAGAATAAACTTATTACTATTAGAACTTCATCAAAACACAAACAATAAAGAGAGAATCGTAAATGCGGATAGCGTGCGCATACATAATAAAAACAAAAAACACATACAGATTTATTAGACCCAGGGTTGAACGAACTATTGTTCTTATCTTTCGACATTCCGTTTATTTCACCAAAATTCATGTTCCTTTATATTCGACTTACAAGTAGCCCGTGATAGAATACACTCGCTCACCAAAGTGAAAAAATTAGGGTTTAAATAAACAACGACGTCGTCGTAACAGAAAAAAAACTAGTAAATCAAAAAATACTAAAAATACACGAATAAGGCGTATATATTATAAGAATAGGAATATTATTACTATTCTATCACTATTCTATCTATGATTTATTTATATTATTGTGTGTATGTATGTGTGTGGAAACGTAGAGAACGAGTGTAAGAAATGAAATTATTTATTATTTGGTAAGAAATGAAATGGTGAGAAATGAAGCGGGTAAAAAAGTAAAGAATAAATTTGTTGGAAAGAAAGATGGACTGAATGGATTGGTATTGGTTTGTTATGTTTTTCTGTATTGGATCCTGAACACATACACAGTGAATATATTTGCTCTTTTTATACCTGTATTACATGATAACAACAACAAATACGAGAAACCCGATTCATTATTTAAAAATATAAACATATATATGTATCGATATATATATATATATATATCGATATATATTTATATATGCTAATAATAATGGTAGTTAGTTTAACATTTCTGGGTAATTAATGAATTTAAACTGTACATTTAAAATATCCGAAAATCTCATATAAATAGTCATGGAAACTCTGTTTTTTGATGACGTAAAAATGCAGATATAAATTATATGTGTGTGGGTAAAAAAAAACTTGAATGATTTCTTGTTTGCACTTGATTTTCGTATTGATGAACAAGCAAGTATTCGTCGTCGTCGTTGTCGCCATCGTGATCGTGTCGTAATATATTAATATATAAGAATAATATAACAATATATGATAACGATAACAGAATTCTAATTTCTCGCGAGTCGGTTTTGTTATTCTTATTGTGTTACATAATAATAATCTTATTAAACATTACTCGTAGCGTACATATAGTAAAATATGCTACGAAAAAGATGCGATATTTTCTCTGCGTGCATTTAGTTTCCAAATTCACGTCTTAAGGAAGAAAATTTGTCAATTGGTGATTGATGATTATGAATGATGCTGAATGTATGCAAGTATGTATATATTTGTCCCCTGTGGCCAAAATGTAATGTTTTATGAAAATCTCGAGTTTTTCAACTTTTAATTATTTCGAAATCTGGTCATTGATTATTGCGATTTTTTGTCGTTAATTTTCTCCATTATAGATTGTGTGTGTGAATATTTTGGTCGTGTGCTAATTGGTGATTGTGGTAAAGGAGGAAATTTGAATGTATGTGCATTTAAAGCTCATTTAGATTGCAGGCCAAATGAAGATGAATGTTTATATTGGTTATTTGGTAAGTGACGTGTATTATTATGCATACATACATACATACATATATGATTATTTTTTCTTTCTTGTGCATACAAACATTTACCATTGACCAAAACAACAAAAACAGGTAAATCACTTTCACTCAAAAAAAGACATTCTCAACACGAAGATAATGACGTCGTCGAATCTCCTGCCTAAAAGCTCATAATAAATGCGCAAATGCTATTGAAGAATGAATTAATTGAATTTACCACCGCCACCTCGCCGCATATATATGTAAACCTAATATATATTTTTTTTAGTGACTTCTTTAAAAATTTTCCTGCTGCACAAACACATTGACGAATAAGAGTTATTATTAACGACTGATTAATCATTTTTTTTTATGTTGCAGAAGAATCTTTGTTTGCCCTAGATGTTTTTCTTGTTTAATGCACGAAAAGAAAATTAGATCATTCTGGATCAAGTATTTATTCTCGTTCACTTTCTACAACGATAGTTATTTTTTTGGATACGAGAAAAGTCAGGTCTCGCGCGGTAAACAAACAAAAATAAGAAACACACAAGATCGCATGATCCACATCGTACAGCTTTCACTGCACCGTTTGATTGGACATTTCTTTTTATTTTTTTACAAGAGGTGGGAATAGGGAAACTTGTTTGTTTTGTGCCTGATTTTCGGGGATAGGTCGCGTGCACATTTGTGTTATATGATTTTCTTTTGACATTTATCATTCATGAAGAACCGGCAACACAATTCCGATTTGCAATCTCGAAACCTCATCCAAAATTGTAAAAACAACAATGATTCTTTTAAATGATCCGCGCCGTTTTCTATCACTACGACAACCGCATCGGAATCCAATCATCGATTAATTAACTTGTCGCATAATAAAGGCTAGTTAAATAATACACTTTCCTATGAATACTGCATGATGAGAACATATATATAAAACAAACAAATATGCTATGCCATAAAATGATCATACACCTGTACTACTCATTACATGGAACAGTAGAAATCACCATCTTTATTTCGACACTAAAACTAGTGTTTTTTGTTTATTACGCGAGGGTCTCAGGGAAAAAAATTTACCCGTGACTATTTTTATGAACCCGATGAGCAAAGATTTACACTCTATATCTCCAAATAAGGCTAGACAACATATTGAACATTTATCAGAAGATTCAATCAATAACAATAAACAATGATCATGTCAAAATTACTGTAGTAACATAGCGAAACCAAGCCTCCTACATGTAAATACAGTTTGTATTTGTGATCGGCAAATTGAATCATAATGAAAGAACAATAGCATTTCTCGTTCTATTTTATTTATTTATTTAGTGCTTTATTTGTTTTTACTCTCACAATCAGAAAAAATCTGTCAAAAATCGAGTTTGCACGAATTAGAATTCACCTATTCATTCATTATCGATTTTTTTAAATTAATAAATACCACGTGCGCGCACAATCAATTTATATGAAGCAGGAGTTCGTATTCAAATGGGAATTTTCACCAGCAATGTCTGACTCTTTTAAACCCTGATGAAATAATCGATGCTTTTGGAAATGTACAATGACAAAAATAATCGAGAACGAACCAATCAGTTATTTCTTTTCCTTGCTCCTAAATGATTTTAAAAAACAACCTTCTTCTCAATTAGTTTTTCAGAGAAACAAAAATAATGATTTCTATTATTGTAAAAAAATTTTTTTTTCGCGCCATTTTTTTAAATGAAACTGAAATATTTTAGATAAATATAGTAATAAAAATAACATCCGCATTTAAGCCATCATTAAATGTACATTCACCTACTCAAGGAAACCAATCATTTACAATCATCAGTCTAAGCCATTTCGCTTTTTTTATTTATTTGAAAAACGGAAAATTTCTGCGTCGTCGCTCGAACACGACAGACGGTGGGCGGACAGACAGACGGTAAACAATTAATTTGATACATAAATAATGTAAGATGAATATTGCGGGGTTTGTGTTTGTGTTTGTTTCCCTGTCTCTATTTCCTGTCAGTTGGTGCCACGCATCATTGTTTCTGGTATTATTAATGTTATCGGAAAATCTGTACTAATCCTGAAAATTGAAGAATGTTTGTTATCGGAACCCATCTGAAAACCCAATTTTTATTATCAATCTAAAAAAGATGAATAGTTGTGCTTTTGGACTTTGATTATCTTCATCTTTATCAATCTGATGTGTATAAAATCAAGTACGACTTAAGTTTGATGACTTTTCTCTCTTCTCTTGCGTTATTTGAAATCTTTAGTTGCTATTTTATACTTAACATTAAGAGCAATAATTCGATCTCTGCAATTGATCTTGGGTATGTATGATCTATCTATTATTAGCGTGAGAATATTAACACACACTAAATTCGTAAAATAATAGTTATTCTATGTGATAAAAAATTACTGATTAGTCTTTTATAGACATTCGATAGATCGAATTTTTATTTAGAGATACTCGAAGAATTTTTAATTTTTAATTATTAATTCAAAAAAAATCTAGCTACCAGATTAGAATATTTGTCAAACACTCGTTTTGTTATGGATGATTTGATTGGTCAATCACTTAAATTTATAGGCTGATTTCTTCATAAATTTATGATGACCTCATAATTTATTGAATTCAATAATTTACTTTAAATTTAATGCAACATTTTGTCCCATGAATTGTTTTCATTGAATTAAATTGATTTTTTTCCAAAATTCAAACTTTATGATTTTATGTTGCTGTGTACGTTCCATGTTTTGCCACATGAGTATCAAAGACATTTGATCATGAGAGATAAACTCTCATTTTCCAAAAAGAAGTCTATTAACAGCTATTGTATATTTGCTCTTGATAATATGATGTGTAATATTTCTCAGTCTCTAATGTTTGTCAAAAATCTATAAAATTTGCCATTAGATCGCAATGAATCTTTATTCCTGAGCAGTGATTCTCGTTAAACCAGAACTACGTTAAGCCAGATTTGTCTATTATGAAGGAACTTCCAGTTGCGTACTTAATTAACCGGTTTAACAAGAGTCAACCGTAATATTAGGATACGAAAAATAATTGATGATTTCTACAAAAGTGATCAAGACTTTTTTTACGTAGTATATTTCTACCGGTTAATTAACAAGTAGTCATAAAAAAATAAATTCTAAGGAGATATGAAACTTGAGACAATCTCTAATTAAATCAATTAAAGCTGTTTGTCCAACTATCGAAACTACCGTAGAGCGCTGACTATAGTAACCCGAATATTTTACATTTTACGCTTATATCCGGGGGTATTATGCATAGAGGAGTACTATGGTTTATCGAAAATTTAACAAGTCATAACTCGACAATCACGTGATTCGGCTTCAATTTTCTGGTGGCGATCTAATGTCATTTTTTTGTAATTAACCAATAAAATAACGATATTTTAATCACGTGAGATGATGCAAACCAATTTAATTTATTACATGATTTACATTATGATCATTCGGGCTGGCACTATGATAATTTAGCATTAGCATAGTGCCGGCCTGAATTATAATGAATACCAACCAATAAAAACACGTTCATGTGATAAAAATTAACGTGATTTGTTTCAAATTTGGACCAATCATATAAAATTGACCGATAGTTTAATAGAGTTTATCTTAAAGAATAAAGTTACTGGTTTAATTTTTCTAAATTTCATTTTTGTAAAGTGTTGAAAGATTTTAAAAATAATTCATTTTATTGTTGAGTTATGATTTCCGGCACCATATGAATCGTTGGAGGCAGCGTTGTCACGTTACTATGTCCAGTAACCAGAAGTTACTGGACTTATCGTTATAAAATTACTAAGTTCAGTGGCGCAGTATTAGACTATGTCCAGTTGACAACACTGGTTTGCGGATACTATGCATAAGGGAATATTATAGAGTTTCGACTTTTGACATTGGCTAAAATAGGGTTTTCTAGGCAAGAATCAGAATAATCGGAGAAATTCATAAAAGTTGTTGGTTTCTAGAAAGAATTAAAAGTTAAGATTGCCGAATTGGAAAGAACAAAATCAAGCCCAATTTTTTTTAATATAATCTTTCAATTTCGTGACGAGATCGGATGTAGTTCATGCTACATTTTATTTTGACACATCAAGTTACTATGAATGGATTATAATATAAAATCCAAAGCTCGTTTTGTAGCATAATAAAGTAATACGTAGAAATGACTCATATCTTTGGAATACATGTAATCAAATAGATATATTAGGTATAGTTGCATTTATTCTGCAACTCTTATGAACATTATTTTAGCTCGAATGAACTTAAAATTTAAAGTTTATATTTTTGCAAAAAATAGAATCAATATGTAATATGACAGAATTACGGCCAAAGAAAACAACTAATTAATCAAGTCCAGTCCATTTAAAAGAAATATATACAGCTTTGTTTTGTTTCTCATTCCACGAGCATAACAATTGGGATTTCTTTGTTATGGTTCCCATTCTTCCAAATGTAATGATGTCCAAGGCTGAAACGGGTCTATTAATATCAACAATCGTTGCTATTATCTGGCTATGATATCGAAGTGGATCACCTGTTGTTTTCCATAATAAAGTCCAGATACTAGTTAGTTGTAATTATTACGTTACAAAGAAGGACAATATAAAAAAAAACAAAATATAGTCTCAATCACCAGAATACAAAAGAAAATCACCACCGAATTTAATTCCATTTGTGATGAAGTAGCCACGTTCCCAAAGATCAGAGAAAACCTTAAACCGATGTTGATCTTTTTCAGTGTTCGGCCAACGCCATAACTTTGCTGTGGCTGCTTGTTCGATAGTTGTGAAACCATTATTATCGTTGTACCAAGCAAATGAGTCGGATGTGGTAGGGAGGTGGGCAATCGGCGAGAATTTTGTGGTTGGATATTTCTGTTCGATTTCTGTATTGGTGATGTCAGGATTCTCGGTCGATGACGATGATGCATGTGATTCTTTTTTAATCTCATGTTCTTTTCTGTACTTGGCACTTTTTTCATTTCGTACTTGCAAATATTCATTTTCTTGACGTTGTTCATCTTCAAAACGCAGTCGATTAAACTGATCAAGTTGACCATTTGTAGGTACTGTATGAGTTTTTCGTGCATCTATTAGAATAATTATCCCTAAATTTCTATTTATATTAGTTATCGTTCTAAAAGATGAAAATTACCAAACTTTAAAGAGATTATTATTTGACCTTTGGAAAGTAGTAATGTAACTTCCTCTGGCATAAGTGTCAATGGAAGTCCAAAATACAGATTCTGCATAGGAAATCGTGGTAATGTACCAACCAGTGAACCTACGATTCTATATACGGTACATAATTTATGGATGACTATTTTTTTTCAGATTGAAGTGAAAATTAGCATTTTTTAAGTTGCTAATGGATAAAAATTTACAGACCATCAGGATCCCATACGAATGCTTTGTCATTGAGAATGTATACTTTAAAGGGTGGGATTATAGCAATTGTTGAATTATTTAATTTTTCGGCCATGGATTTATAAGAGATCTTATTCGATGACTTATCATTATACATTTGTTCACGTGACTGGATTTAATAATTCACGTGACACCTTGGGAATTAGTAGCCTGATTATAATAACACTTGCATGATTTTTGCCATGCGTGCCAGGTTACGCCGAATGTATTGTTTGGTGTATATGGCACGGGTGGCACAAACCAATAAGGATGCGCAAATTTTTGATCAGCCTAGCAAATAAATCTGGCACAAGAAAATGAAAAATACAAGTATCTAAATCAAACTCGAAGCACTAATAAAAATATCGGTGAGACAATTTTATGTATAATCTTTGCGCCAGTCCTAATCCTAATCCTAATCCAAATTAGTGCTTCAATCAGGTCGGGTTGGTGTCAAAATATTTCGATTAAACTGAAAGTCGTAATTTCTCATCCAATATTAAATCAAATTGAACGAAAATTTGTAGATATATACACAATTACATTTCAAATAACTTTACTTAAGACACTAAATACAAGTATCTTAGCAAAAATAAAAGTTATTAACAAAAAATTATTTTAAGATTTTTGAATCAAACCTAATGATCCAATTCGTGATTCGATCCGAATCGTACACTTCGGATCGGATCGGAGTCAAACCTGATCTGAAATATTTTGAATCAGCTTAAAAATTGGTATTTTTCATTTAATATTAATTCAAATTAAATAAAAATTTATAATATATATATTGTTAATAATACGTAATAATATTATTCCTATAAACTAAACTGAACCAGACTTTGGCTTGAGTTCAAGAAAAATTCAAAGTTCAAACTGAACTTGAACTGAATTATTATACAAGTTTGAGTCTGGTTTGAGTTTGATTAAAGATCAGTATATATTATTATATATTGATTTATAGTTTTAAATATAAGTTACAATTTTACTTATAAGTACAATTTATAGTATTTAGTAAGAATTAAAAGTTTATATAGTGATAACTAAAATATTTTTATTTTATGTTTATTAAATTTGATTATAAATACTATATAACTCTCTGAATAATTATTATTAATAATAATTATATATTACACATTTTTCACTAATTGGATAATTAGTTAATAAACATGAACAAGAGTTGGGAGAGGTAATTAAACAAATATAAGAATAATATGAAAATAATATCTAAATCCTATGTCAATTTCTACTGAAATTGTTATAGTTTGAGAGAGGAAAAGGATAATGGTTTCACAACTATCGAACAAGCAGCCACAGCAAAGTTATGGCGTTGGCCGAACACTGAAAAAGATCAACAT